AACAGGTCAAAAAAATTCATCGATCCTATTTATCAAGTATGGGAAGACATGATGGCTGAAGAGCTTCAAGAATTTAAGAAACCCATTAAAAAGGTGAATTTCTTGGCAGGGATGGGAGTGTATGTGTGTATACACACACACACACACACACACACACACTGAAAACCACTGATGTGTTCTCCCCCCCTTTATCTATTTTGATTGAAAATTTTCAAATCTCCTTGGGTATCATAAATATTAATTACCATTAACTGATGCAGTTAACTTACTGCATACCTAAGGAAAACTTTACTGTATACTGCTAGTCCCTTCACCCTCCTTCCCTGTATATTTTTTCCCTGTTCTTACCCCTGCTGCCCTCAGTCTATAGTTCGTGTATGTCCTGTTCCGTGTCCTTAATTGCTACCTATCTTTCTGATCATCTGTTCATGACTTTTTCCATTGCCTACTCCAAGAATTATTTATTCATTCTTCTCCTCTTTCTTTTGTTTTTTCTGTTTTATCTAAAAAGAATTTAATGCTCACAATGCTTAAAGAGTAGCTATAACCTAAAAACAAAAAGATAAATTAAAAAATAAGTAACGGATGTGACATCAAAGACATCACATTTGGTCAACCAGCTGGTAAAAAGATACTTAACATCATTAGTTATTGTTGTCAGGTGCCGTAAATGCAGCACCAGCCCATAGCAGCTCTGGGTACTGCAGGATAGACCCTGCCAACGCTGCACCATCCACGCTGTCTCCTCTACTTACTCCCATTGCTGTAGTCCCTAGACCAGTCTGTCTTTTTTTAAGTTGTGTTTCACTCATGCACATTTTTTCCCTCTCCCTCCCCCCTAAACTCTTCAACCCCTGCCTCCCCCCCTCAGTCCCCCTAACCTCTCCCCTTCCCTCTTTGTACACATCTCACTAGTTATCCTTCTTCTTTTCTAACAGTGGCCTTATGCAGTATTTGTCCTTATGAGACTGAGTTAGTTCACTCAGCATAATGCTCTCTAGTCTCTCCCATGTTCTATAGTATTTTTCGAAATTATTGCTCCTGAGTGTTACATAGTGTTCCATCATGTGAATGTACCTTAGTTTCTCAATCCAGTTTGTTGATGGACATTTCCCCTGTTTCCCTATTCTGGCTATTGTGAATAATGCTGCTGTGTACATTGGTGTACAAATTCCTGTTTGTATCTCAGTTCTGTTTTCATTGAGGTATATTCCTAGCAGTGGTATAGCTGGGCTGTATGTAGTCTCTGTGTTCACCTTTTTGAGTAAATGCTAAACTGCCTTCCAGAGTGGTTTCTATTTCCAGAGTGTTACATTTTACTATCCCACCAACAGTGTTTGAGAGTTCATCTCTCCACACCCTCTCCAGCATTTATCGCTTGCTGTCTTGTTAAACTTTGCCACTGCTACTGGGGTGAGATGGTATTGTAGTTTTGATTTATATCAGTTTCCCTTGTGCACGGTCTGCCTATGCTTCACTAACCCCCTCCTTTTTTTTAATTATTATTTAATATTGGTTTGCATACAAAATTCATGTACATTGTTTGATTCATACATTGTGTTTCACACATTCCTCATCCACATTGAGAGTATACAGAAGAATAGAATTTAGATTTTTTCGGATTTATCATTAGAAGTTACACCACCCAAAATTCCTTATGTTGAGTTCGTACCAGAAGTTAATGTTAGATTTCCAAGTTCTCATGAATATGCTTGTGGCAAAGACGCGAGTCTACAACATTTACTTAGTGAATATTGTTGTTGTGCTGTTGAGTTGGAACCGATCTACAGGTGACCCTCCTGTGAGGTTTCATAGGCAGGAAACTACCTGGAAAGAGATTGCCCATTCTTCTCCCATGGAGCAGCAGGTGGATTTGAACCACGTGCCTTTGGGATTGAAGAGTAGCATCTTGCCACTCAGCTACCAGATCTCCTTCTTCAGTGCATACCAGTAATAAATAATATCATTGTTCTATTTCTCTGAAGCGTATTTATTACATTCACAACCGAACACAGAAAGCAGATCGAGTCAAGGCAAGGAGTTCTTGGCGCTCTTCCGGTAGCCTCTTTGACACTTACTGATAATATTTATTCTTCATGTAGGAGATGGTGATGACGGAGGATGACGATGATGATTTTTTGAAAGGTGAAATTCTCCCAAATGACCCTGTGATCGAGATCACGCCGAGCTCCTTCGACTCCCATTTCCGAAGCCCGTCAAGCAGTGTGGGCTCCCCGCCGGTCCTCTACAGAGTAGACCAGTCCCCTCTTCTGTCAGGGATTTGTGACTGAGACAGTCTCTCTGCCCATCCTGCCCTTCGCACCCAGAGTCCCTGCTGTGTGCACGCTGCGTCCTTGTGGAGCAAGTACCTGCCGTGCGCGTCTTTCAAGTTAAGACCAAACCTACCTAGTCTCTGAAGGAAGTTGAATTTTTGTGGGCTTAAGATCTTTTTCTACAATGTTGGGAGGGTTTTCCCCCCCTTGTTTCTTTCACAGATGGAAGAAAAAGGAAAAGACATCATGTGCAATATTAGACTAACGTTAAATGGTGAAAGCCTTGTCTTGTTAATATGTATACTGTGTGTGTATATAATGATTAAGATATTTCTAACATTGGCAGTGTTTTTAACCAATTCGCTTTTTAACACAGATCTTTTGTTGTCAGACAAAAGCCACAGGACTTTGTGATCTGACCGACTTTTCAGTGAAAAACCATCCAGGACACTATTTAAAATATATATTTAGTAGAGAATATGTGCTTTGGATGTGTGTTTGCCTGGTGCTTATCTGTATTTGTGGGTTGGAATCTGTGAGTGCAGAGAAGAGGCGGTAGGCGGAAAGTAGGGAGTTGACCAGAGCTAGGGGGTCGTTAAAAGTTGGGGCAACACTGAAGGAGTTTTAAGACCCACCAAAATCAGGAGGGAAGAGAGGGGGTTTAGAGAAACAGAATCAGAGAGTAGTACACTAGAGCCCTAAACAAACAAAACAACCAATAAATGAAAAACCAATTTCCAGATAATTTATAATTCACCTTGATGTAAAGTAGTGTTGGTCTTGTATAAAATACATAGTCTTTTACCCTTAGGTTCGCCACAGTACTGTTGGAACTAAAACCACTGGTCTCAATTAGAGCCTCTGTTTCATAGCCTCTGTTGGGTGTCGTGGAGCCTTTCTTCGTCCACATAGACAACCCTTCCTTCTGTGTCTTTAAAAGATCGGTGTGGCGGGGGGGTAGGGGGGTAGATTTATAGGCCAAGGTTCCTGCTGTAGCCTCTTCAGGGATTCATAGCAGGAATTCAGCTTTCTGAAGTTGTCCTCCGGCATGGCTGGTTCTGTATTTTTATAACCAACCCCTCAAGAGGTACGTCTCAGACAACCTTCCTTTATAACCCTTTGTGCAAGCAGTGCTAGGATCTTTTTTAAGCTCACGTATAAAACTTCGTTTTGTTCTTTACATATGTATTTTTTTCTGGCTTATTTTTGAAAATAGGTATCTTTAAACATATTTATTTTTTTTGTTACTGCTTTCTGCTTCTTTATTTAAAGGTCAGCAGTATCTTCCTATTCATAAGTATTTTGTAATAAAATACTTTTTTTTCCCTTAGGGCTTTTTCTGCTCTTGTCTAATTCTATTGTTAGCAAATGTAGAATTTTAATATGTAAATATCTTTCTGGAAATACAGATATTTTTATTGCTTTAAAAAGTTTTGCACACTGGTGAATTTCTTTGGAGAATCATAGGTTCTCCTTAAGTGCTGGCAAAATGGAATTTTGTACACTAGATAAAGGTTAATAAATGGAATATGAGTCTGTGGAAGGTAGTAAGTCTTGCTTTCTTAATGAGTTGGAGCAAGTGTGTTATTTCAGAGGAATTTGAGGAAAATTCACTGTGATAATAAAACCACATTGGTTGATCTGGAGCTTTATTCTTATGTCAATTCTGATGCTAAATGGAGGTGCCCACCCCAATAAAGAGACTCCTTATATACATGTTCTGATATCTGAGCGTCTTATTCAAGCACCGTGTGGAAAAGGAAAACTTCTCCAGGACAAAACCATCAAAGAGAGAACGTGTTTGTGTGTGATGGGTGCACTGAAAAGGACTTCTCAGCCAAGAGGGACTAAGGCTTGATCGGGTGCTGGAATTCAAAGAACCCGCCACCCCAGACCAAACCCAGTTCTGATGCATGATATCCCCTCAGGACCCGGTAGAACTCCCCACAGGGCTTCCTTTAGGACTGGCTAGAGCTCCCCTACAAGGCTTCCTAGAGAGTAACGAACCTCTATGGAAGCAGCCAGCCTCGTCTTTTTACTTTGGAGCATCTGGTGGATCCAAACCACTGATTGTTGAGTGAGCAGCTCAATGTTATAATCCACTATGCCAGCAGGGCTCCTTGTTTCTAAGGAAACCTTTTCAGAACAGTTCATGTTGGGGGGGGGGGCACAACACATTAAAACCTATGGGGAAAAATCCAGAAAAACAGGAAAATAGTGGGACTTTTCCCCCTAAAACAAGCTTTTAAAGAGGAGCTCTATTCGCCTAGGGGCAAGAAGCTGCCCTGCAATTCCAAAGGCACGGGATTTGAGGCCACCAGCTGCTCTGCTGGAGAAGGATGGGCAAAACCCTGTGCGATTCACTGCCTCTGAAAAGCTGCCAGCTATGGGTCGGTTTGACTTTACACAAGAACAACCACCACCACCACGCATGATGGTCTCCCAAGGACCGAACCCTCCTGATATCCGAAGTAAACAAAAAAAGAAAATAAATTGGGGATAGGAGATATATGTGAAATGTCATCTGTGGTCGCTGTTTCTATAATTAATTGAGTGGGATCTAGTTGAAGGGGAGAGCTGTATTGTTAGTTTTGATGTGGTGGGGGCAGTGTACAAAGTCAAAAGTCTGCGTGGTCAAAATGGTTTACCCTCGAGGTCTGGTGATCTGCTGTAACAATTAAACCCGAGGGAGTTCTGCTGGAATCAGAATCCACCAGATGACAGACGATTTGGGCTGTTGATTTTTTTAAAAAACTTATTTTTAATTTGGTGTACCGTTGAATTGGATCCACCTGGCACAGGAGGAATCGGCCCCTTCTTCAGAGGAGCATCTGGTGGATTTGAACCACACACCTTAAGGATTGCAGTGCAGCTTCTTGCTACTAGGCCACCAGAGGACCCTTGTTTGGGTTTTTTAAATGAAGGAAACGGAATCGAGATTTACAAATTCTAAGTTACTTCTCTCTCTTCTTCAGTCTAACATGAATTCTTGTTAATATCTGAGTCATAATACCATGTTTTCTACAACAGCACCAAGGAAAGAGACTTCCCACTCTATATACTGGCATACCCAGGGTATGGAATGTATGATCCGTTCTTTGAGATCTTTCCCCCAAGTCATCTATGAGTCCCAGCTGCATGCCAAGCTCTTCGTTAGAATAGCAAAGTTCAGAATAATTTACGATGGTTTATGTTTACTACGCAATACAGTTCTACCATGCAGCATAGCCAATTGTCAAAGTCAGATGGTTTTCTCAAGGTCACATAACAGAAGCAGTAGAGCAGGGATTTAAGTGGAGAAAGTCAGATGCAGCTCTCACATTCTGGCTGGGTTGGCATCAGCATTGAGCTAGACAGACCTTTGTAAACGAAAGGTCACGCGAGAACCCTCCAAACCTTTCGGACTACATTTCCCAGCGTCCCCAGCGGGCGCGGTCTCTTCCCTAAAATGCTCCCTGGCGTCTTTTCGAGTTTCCCGTGAGCCATCTCGGCCCCGCACCGCCCCCGTGCGGACTCCACTTCCCGGCAGCCCCCGCGGGGGCCCGCCAGGCGGGAGGGGCGGTGGGCAGCCCGGGCCGGGAGGCCGCCGCCTCCGCGATGCCGCTGCTGGTCGAGGGGCAGCGAGTGCGGCTGCCGCAGCCCGCCGGGGACCTCGTCCGTGCCCATCCGACTCTGGAGGTGAGCGGGGCCCCGGTGCGAGAGCTTCGCGGCGGGCCCGAGGGCAGTCTGCCGGGTGGGCTGGACCCTTGGCTGGCTACCGCCACCCCTCGGCGCTCCCCTGGGACATGTCAGAATCCGCGCAGCCGGGGAGTGGTCCGCGCGTCCGGGCCGCGGCCGCTGGCAGCCACTTGGTGCATTCACTTGAGTCCGCAGAGCTTCTACCCTCTTTAGACCCTACAGGGCATCTGGTGAGCCCCCTCGGTTAAAGAGGTGGACCAGAGGGGTTAGGCGACTTGTCCAAGGTCGCACAGCACCGAGGCCTTAGCACACCCTGAAACTCCGATTCCCAGACAAGGCAGTTGTCCCCCAAACGTTGACCCGGTCCATTTAGGCAAGTCTGGGCTCATTAGAACTGGCGGGGTGTCCCCGCCCCATAGTGGACACTGCATCGCCCGCGGTTATCAGTTGGGGGTGATCCCATGGTGGACTACGTGGGGCGCGCACGTGCTGTCCGGGGAGCCCCCTGTTCCCGATCTTGGAACATAGGCCTTGGTTATTTTTTAGCCAGTGTGTGGGGAGGACCACGCCCTGATGGAAAGAGGTTTTTTAGTGTGTGTGTGCATTTCCCCCCTCTTATTTATATCACACTAGATCACTGATTCGTAAATCCTGAAATATCAAGATTTACTTTGCATTCATATAGAAAGAAGAGGTTTCTTTGAGCTTAGAAAAACTGGGATCTGGTTATGGGGGCATTAGCCCCCCCCCCCCCCCCCCCCCCCCCCCCCCCCCCCCCCCCCCCCCCCCCCCCCCCCCCCCCCCCCCCCCCCCCCCCCCCCCCCCCCCCCCCCGTTCATTGACGTCAGAAGTAAATGTTGAGTTTCTAATTCACGCTGGGAAGTTAATAATGAGTAGTTGTTAATTGCTGCCAAGTCGATTTGACTCATGTTGACTCGTGTGCAGAGTGGCACTGCCCTGGAGGGTTATCAGAGCCCTTAGGAAGCAGACAGCCAGGCCTTTCTTCCAAGTGCCTCCGAGCTGTTCTCACTGCTCACTTCTCCGTTAGAGCTCTAGTGCTTTACCATGCAGGGACTCCCAGTCATGTACTAAGAGATTTTTGTTAATTTTTTTAATGGCCTTTTTCACTGAGCTAGGAAAAAGGAGCTGGCCAGGACTGGAGGAGAGAGAGAGGGGGTTAAAGAGAATTCTCCATGTGTCCTTTCTGTAATTCTTTTGTCTACTTGTTTCCTCTTCCTTTTGATATGTCTCCCAGAATATAAACGTCTAAGAGGCAGCCGGAAGTGTCACTGTTGGCCTCGGCGTCCAGGGTGATCCTTGGCATCTAGTCCCATGTTCAGTAAATATTTGTTACATAAATGAGTGAACCAGATGACCCCTGAACTGAGATCTGAAGGATGACGGGAAGTTACTGACAGGAAGAAGGCGGGCAGCTCCATGTGATTCTTGACTTGTTTGTGTTTCATAGGCAAAGTAGTAACGTTAGCCAGCACGTACTGGGCACTCGGTAGATGCTTGGCATCATCTGAGCCCTTTGCATGCACTGTCACACCCGTGAGGCTAGCCAGAAAAACATTCAGCTGCCTAGAAAATTTAGATGACCTTTTATGAATATTTAGAAATTCCCATAATGAGTGGCTAAAAAGAAGGCTGGGTGTTGAGAGAGAGCAACGTGGTGATATACCAGGACCATTCCTCCTAAAGGAGGTTGGGGCTCTATGTAGGGAGACAGCCACATCCTTCTCCCACAGAGTGGCTGGTGCATGAGACCACCAACATGCGGGTTAGTGGCTGAATGCTTAAATGGTTGCACCACGAGGGCTTCTTTAACTATCAGACAGAAAGCCCCTCATTGGCATCAAGTCAGAACCGACGCAGTACGAACTCTTCAGCAGATTTTCAGAGGCAGTTAAGTCACAGGGGAAGAAATTGCCATCTTTCTCCAAAGAGCAACAGGGGAGGCTTACAACTGCCTATCCTTATGTTGCTTTGGTGGCCTTCATGGTAAAGAGTTGCACAGCCAACCCAAAGGCTGGTGGTTTGAATCCACTAGTTGCTCCATGGGAGAAGGAAGAGCAGTCTCCTCTCCTGAGATTTACTGCCCCTGAAAACCCACTGGTGGGTCAGCTGGAAGTCAGTTGTGACTCGATGGTTCCCACTCAATCACTACCTTTGACTCAACAACTCATCTCTTTTCCCTTTAAGCCACAAGAGTGCCCTCTCTTAGTTCTAACATGTTATATTGATGACAGCAGCAGTAGTAATCATTAGTACTTTCTTTTTTTTTTAATTAATTTTAATGAAAGTTTACAGAGACTTAGGGTTTCTAGTCATTCATTGTTGCACTTTTCTCCCTGCCCACCCCTTCTTCCCCAATTCACTCTTCTCCTTGAAAAGTAAAAGTCTTTCATTGTTATACAATCCCTCCCCCCAAGTCCACCCCACTATGCAGCCTTCATTCTGGACTCCTGTCATGACAATAATACCCAATCATATATCCTTTTTAAACAGTTCTCTCCCTCATCTGTTTCAATGCAGTACACATCATTCTTCCCCTCCTTCTCTGTCTCCCCTCAACCCCAATGTCAGACCCGTTTTACAACAGCACCCCTATGCAACATTTGTCCTTTTGTGACTGAGTTATTTCACTCAACATAATGTCCTCCAGGGTCATCCGTTTTGCCTAATATTTCATTAGTTCCCTGTTTTTCAATGCTGCATAGTATTCCATTGTGTGAATATACCAGAGCTTCTCTATCCATTCATTTGTTGATGGGCAAATTTGCTGGGTTGTTTCCAGTTCTTTGCTATTGTGAACAAAGCCACAATAAACATGGGTGTACATATATATCTGCTTGGGTGACGGTTATGGTTTCTTTAGGGTATATTCCCAGTAGTGGAATTTCTGGGTCAAATGGTATTTCTATTTCCAACTTTTTGAGAAAGTGCCATACATCTTTCCATAGTGGTTACACCATTTTACACTCCCACCAACAGTTCCAGTTTCTCCACAACCTCGCCAGCATTTGTTGTTTGCTGTTCTGTTAAATTTTGCTATTCTTACTGGAGTGAGATGATATCTCATAGCTGTTCCATTAGTGCCTTCTGAGTCTGATGAGTTAGATGCTGTCACTATTCCCATTTTACAGACGAACACTCTTGAGGCACAGAAGGGTGGAGTAACTTGCCTATAAGGTCACACACCTGCGAAAGGTGAGGCCAGGATTGGAACCCTGGCAGTCTGTCTTTGACTCTACCCAAAATGAGGACAGTTTTCCACGTGTGCTACTTATATTTAAATTAAGTAAAGTGAACTAGAAAATAAAACTAGTTCTGAAGGCACTCTAGTTACATTTCAAGTGCTTACCAGCCACCCAGCCTTGGGGCTGTTGTGAGATAGCACAGATCTAGACCTGTCCATCGTTGCAGGGAGTTCTCTTGGGTAAGACTACCTGGAAGCTTTTCCCTGGGCGTCTCATGCTCAGTAACCACTCTTGCAACCTCTTGCCTCATGGTTCCAGAGAAGCTACAAGATGAGTGCACCGTGGTTTAATTCCTGCATTTTGAACATGCAAGGTGTTGATCCTCTTTTACCATGATGGACATTCAGAGAACTAAATCTTTGGAAATTCCCGTTCACTTCTCCTTAAGCATATGTACTTCCCAGGGGAGCTGCTGGGCTTGGAAAGGTATCTGAGCAGAAAAGTTAAGTCACACAATTTGTCTTTTGAAGCAATGCCTCCCACAGCCGTTTGCTAGATTGTGCTGGGCAAGGAAGACCTTAGGGGATCAGAGGTACAGAATGTGTCACCCACTCTCGGTGAGTTGTTGAGGCCCCAAAGTCACGCATGCCCATTACAGAACTGCTCTCAGCGTTGCTCATTCTCCCCATTTATCAGACAGGGTAACTGAGGGTCAGTAGCCCACCTGAGGCTATTCAGTAAATGGCAGGGTGAGGATCCAGAGTCAGCACTGTCTTGCCTGAAACGTTATGCTCGTGCCTGTTGCTGTTATGTGCTGACCCTCCAGCAGGTTTTCAGAGGCTGTAAGTTACACAGGAGGAAACTGCCCATCTTTCTGCTGTGGAGCAGCTGGTGGATTTGAACCGTGTGTCTTCAGGTTGTCAGTGCAAGTCCTTACCATCTTCATGGTTATGTTGCAGTAATCTAGATTCAGGGGCTGAACTAAGGCAGCACAAATAGGAATGAGAAAGGTGGCTTAATTTCAAGTGCTGTTGTTGTTGTTGCTGTTGTTGCTAGGTACCGTTGAGTTGACTCCAACCTTGGGTGACCCTGTGTACCCAGAACAAAACCCGGGCCGATCATGTACCAGCCTCACCAACTGTTGCTGCAGTCATTGCAAAAAGCTAATTGCAGACACTCTGTCAGCCCGTGTCCTTGAGGGTCTTCCTTCCTTCCACTGACTCTCCTTTTCTAAGCAAGTTGTCCTCCTCCAGGGACTGACCTCTCCTACTAACATGCCCTAAGTATGCGGGAAATGGTCTCTCCTTCCTTACTTCTAAGCAGCACTCTGGCTGAATGTCTTTGAAGACAGATTTGTTTGTTCTTTAGACAATGCACAATATTTTCTGTATTCTCTGCCAGCACTACAACTCAAAGGCATCAGATCTTCTTAGCTTTTCCTTATTCATGGTCCCACTTCCACATGTACATAAAGTAACTGAAAATACCATGGTTTGTGCCAGGCACACCTTAGTCTTTAATGTGGCAGCCATGCTCTTTAGCACGTTTAGGAGACCTGGGTGGTACAAGTATCCAATGCTGTATAGCTGGAATTTTTTGACTGCTCCCTCTATGGGTGTTGACTAGTTCCAACTAAAATGAAATCATTGGCAACTTCAGGCTTTTCTTCATTTAACATGTTACTTACTGGCCCTGTTGTGAGGACTTTTTATTTCTTGATGTTAAGGTGTAATCCATATTGAAGACTGTAGACTGAGCTGCATCAGTAAGTGCCTCAAGTCCGTCTTATTTTCTCCA